CCTCCTCCTCAACAATTACACAATATGAAAATACTCTCCCACTTCCCCTGATGGCGTCCGAAAGATATTCGGCACCCCCCCGCGTACTGTTTTTTTACACACAGGATTCCCCGGAGTTGGGTTTTCGCTTGTGTTTTTTTCTAAAATGCTGCTCTCGCTGAGGCGCCGGCCTCTTTTCTGCTCCCGAATCGTTCCGAATCGTGCTCCCGCTGCAGCGTGGGCCTCATTTTCGGATCGGTGTTTGGCCTCCGTCGTTCAGGATGGCGTTCTCGCCCCATCGCGGGCCTCTTTCTCGCGCGCCCATCCGCCCGCCACCACCGCGCCGCACCACCACCACCACCACCACCACCACCACCACCACCACCACCACCACCACCACCACCACCACCACCAGCAGCACCAGCACCAGCACCAGCACCAGCACCAGCACCAGCACCAGCACCAGCACCAGCACCAGCACCAGCACCAGCACCAGCACCAGCACCAGCACCACAACCACGCACACACGCACGCACGCACGCACGCGCACCACCACCCACTAGTTACGCACGCGCGCGCGGAGCCACAGGTCCGCTGCGACACGCGTCCGCGGATAGAGAAAATCAGCGCCATGGTAAGGGATGGGAGGGAGGGGTAGGACGTCAGATATGACGCGAGCGCACCTAGCTTGTCCTCTCCTCCTCCTCCTCTTCCTCCTCCTCCAGGAATGGCGTTCTGGCACTAGTCAGCATCGTCAAGACGCAACAGTCAGGTTTATCCGTGGCGTTGAAATACCGAGGGCAATGTTTTGGCATGCTTCAGGGTCTTCAAGCGGTTGTGTTCCAACGAGGCAGGTCCCTCTGTCGAAAAGAACCTTTGTAGGGGCCCATGAAGAAAGGAGCTTAGGGGGAGGGCTTATTCCAACATCGTTGGTGACTCTTGGGTTACACTGGTCCTCCTCCTCCTCCTCCTCCTCCTCCTCCTCCCTTCCTCCTCCCTCCTCCTCCTCCTCTTTCATCTCCTCTCTCCTCCTCCTCTCCTCCTCCTCCTCCTCCTCCATTCCTTTTCCTATACTAACTTCTCCCTGTCGCACCCCGAGGCCAGTTTTTAGGGCGGTCCGGGCGTTTCGCCTGAGACTTCCTCACCAATTATGGCACCGAAGCGTAAAAATTGGCAACAGCTTCACATGGCACCAGAGAAAAAAGTAGTCAGAATCTTTTTAGGTCTATAAGGCTATGGGGCTGTAGGGCTATAGGGCTATGGGGCTATAGGGCTATATGGCTAAGGGCTATATGAATAAAGGGCTATAGGGCTATAGGGCTACAGGGCTACAGGGCTATATGGCTAAAGGGCTACAAGTCTACAAGGCTATAGGGCCATAGAGCTATAGGGCTATTGGGCCATAGGGCTCTAGGTCAATTAAGGCTCTACGCTACAGGGCGATTGGGCGATAAAGCACCCGGGCACCCGGGCACCCCCTGGCACCTCTGGGCACCCCCCGGGCACCTCCTGGCACCCCCGGGCATCCAGGCACCCGGGCACCTGGGCACCCCGGGGCACCCGGGCAACCGGGCACCCGGGCCGGCCACAGAAATCGACGACGAACCTCACCTAACCATATGAATCAGCCAGGACACCTACAGAGGCAAGCTCTGATTGGGGAAAATGGAGGGCGGGTGGTTTTCAAAATGTGGCTCTCGCCTCAGTGCCGCGCACATTCGTTTCAAACAATAGCAAAATCTTTACGGATTGAGGATGACAAAATGTGGATCTCGCCTTAGCGCCGCGCACATTCGGTCTAAAGATGTGCAAGAACTTCACGGATTGAAGATAGCCCGTTCTCAACATGTGGCTCTCGCCTGAGCGCCGCGCACATTCGTTCGTAAAGTGTGCAAGAGTTTCACGGGTTCCCACGATGAACGTACCAGGAACGGTTTTTTGGAAGGACTCAGGATTTTGCGGGTGCGTCAGTTAAGTTGATTTGCGGTGCTGGAATCCCATGAATGGCGTTCTGGCACGCTCCAGGATCGTCAAGACGCAACAGTCAGGTCGATCCGTGGCGTTGGAATCCCGAGAACAATGCTTTAGCATGTTTCCGGGTATGCAAACGTATGTCTTCCAGCGAGGCAGATCCCTCAATGGAAATGAACCGTTGTAGATGCCTATGAAGAGAGAGAGCTTGGAGGGAGGGTGTATTCCAACATCGTTGATGGCTCTTGGGTTTACACTGGTTCTTCTCCTCCTCCTCCTCCTCCTCGTCCTCGTCCTCCTCCTCCTCCTCCTCCTCCTCCTCCTCCTCCTCCCCCATCCTCCTTATCCTCCTCATTATCCTCCTCCTCCTCCTCATCATCATCATCCTCCTCCTGCTCGTCCTCCTCCTCCTCCTCCTCCCTCCCTCCTCATACCTTCCTTCCCTCCCGTATCCCCCCCTCCTTCTATCCTCCCTCATCATCCCACCTCCGCCTTCTCCTCCTCCGCCAGCCTCCTCCTCCTCTTCCTCCTCCTCCACCTCCTCTTCCTGACCCCCCGTTCCCTCCAACCTCCTCCTCCTCCTCCTCCTCCTCCTCCTCCTCCTCCTCCTCCTCCTCCTCTTCCTCCTCCCCATTTCCAAGGAATCATCGTTGCCAGAGCCTCAGTGTTCATTGCATGGGTTGGGTCTGGCGATCTTCCCCACAACCCACCTCGAAGTGCCCGACTTCGAGTCGCGCATGGGAGTTCTTCTGCTGCTCGTGGTAGAAGCTGGTGCGGCGGTAGAGTTCGCAGGCAACCAGACCTTTCCGTTCCTCATGGTCCTCAGCCTTCCCCCTCTTCCCCTCCTCCTCCTCCTCCTCCTCCTCATCATCATCATCACCACCACCATCATCAGCAACATCATCATCATCATCATCATCATCATCATCCTCCTCCCTTCCTCCTGCCTCAACCTCTCCAACCTCCTACCTCCATCCTTCCTCCTCCTCCTCATCATCAACATTCATCATCATCATCCATCATCAACATCAATCATCAACAACATCATCAAATCGTCAACATCACCAACATCCAACATCAACATCATCATCACAATCACCAATCACCATCGACCATCACCATCACCATCAACCATCACCATCACCGATCACCATCAACCAATCACCATCCTTCCTTCCTCCTCCTCCCGTCCCTCTTCTGCTCCCAGTGCCCTCCTCCTCCTCCTCTTCCTCCTCCTCCTCCTCCTTCTCCCCCTCTTTATCAGCAGCACAAGCAACCGCACAAAACAGCACAACAACATGCAGCAGCTGACTAGAACACGTGCCCTCGTAATCACAGTATCATCAGATCAGCCGTATACCCATCAGCATCACCACCACCATCATCAGCATCATCACCACCACCACCATCATCAGCAGCAGCATCAGCATCATCACCATCATCATCATCATCATCATCCTCATCATCAGCATCACCATCATCATCAGCAGCAGCATCACCACCAGCAGCATCATCATCAGCATCATCACCACCAGCATCATCATCATCAGCATTACCAGTAGCATCATCATCATCAGCAGCATCGTCATCAACATCATCATCGCCAACATCATCATCATCAGCATCACCATTATTATTCTCATCAGCATCAGCATCATCATTATCATCACCATCGACATCGGCAACAACAACCTCACCCTCATCCTCATCATCGTCCTCATCGGCGTCGGCATCAGCATCATCATCGCATCATCATCATCATCATCATCATCATCATCATCATCATCATCATCATCATCATCATCAGCATCGTCTTCATCGTCGTCATGTTCACTGCTATCGTCATCGTCATCGACATCGGCATCGGCATCGTCATCATCATCACACCGCAATCGTCGTCGACATCGTCATCACCATCATCATCATCATCATCAGCATCATCATCATCAGCATCAGCATCGCAACCACCAGCACTAACATCATCACAACCACCAGCCTTCCAATCATCCTCGTCAGCAGCGTCCTCGCATCGCCCCCGTCACAGTCAGCCATCACACCATCAGAAATATCCTAGCGTTGCCCAAGATACGAACCACCACGAAAACCATCATGGCAATCATCAGTACCATAATCAGCATCACCATCATCAGCAGCAGCATCATCATGATCATCACCATCATCGACATAATAAGAATCATCATCAGCAGCAGTATCCTCATCTACATCATCAACGTCATAATCTTTACCAGCAGCAGCAACAGCATCAACATCATGATCATCATGGTCATCATCGACATCATCAGTATCATAACCATCAGCATCATCATCACGATCATCATCCCCATCATCGTCGTCGGAATCAGCATCATCGTCATTGTCATCGTCGACGTAATCATCATCATCATCATCATCAGCATCATCATCATCATCATCAGCATCATCATCATCGTCGTCGTCGTCGACAGCATCATCATCATCGTCATCATCATCGTCATCCTCACCTGCATCATCATCAGCATCATCATCATCAGCATCATCAGTATCGCCATCATCATCATCATCATCATCATACTCATCATCACCACCACCATCACCATCACCGTCACCATCACTACCACCATCACCATCATACACCTCACCACAACCATCGTCATCATCCCCCATGTTCCTGCTCCAAATTATCCTCCCCCTCCTCTTCCTCACCATCGTCCTCCTCCACCTCTTCATCTGTCTTCCTGTTCCTCCTCCTCCTCCTCCTCCCCCTCCTCCTCCTAATCCCCCTCCGCCGCCTCCTCATCATCGTGGTTGCCAGAATCATCATCATCATCATCATCATCATCATCATCATCATCATCATCATCATCATCAGCATCATCATCATCATCAGCATCATCATCATTTCAGCAGCATCATCAGCATCAGCATAACCAGCGTCATAATCATCATCTTCGTCATCATCATCAGCAGCATCATCATCATCGTCATCATCAGAATCATCAACATCAACATCAACAGCATCATCGTCATCATCAGCATCAGCATCAGCATCATCATCATTACCATCAGAACTATCATCTTCAGCATCACCACCACCACCACCACCACCATCATCATCATCATCATCAGCATCATCAGCATCATCATTATGATTGTTATTCTTATTAATATTATTAGCATTATTATGTCCATTATTACTGTTATTAGAAATGTGTCTCCCTCGTCCTTATCCTGCACCTCCGCTCGCCACCCACCCATCCACCACCCCTCCTCAACATCATCCACTCATTTCCTCTCCTCTCATCTTGCCCCTCCGCTCTCCGCCACTCATCCTCTCATTCCACCTCTAGCGTCTCGTCCTCCTCCTCCTCCTACTCCTCCTCCTCCTCCTCCTGAACCCCCTCCCCCTCCACCTCCTGCTCACGTACCCTGTTAATCCACATTCCTCCTCATCTTCCCTCTCCTCTTACACCTCGTCCTCCACCGTCCCATCCTCCTCTCGCCCGGGGCCACCCGACGACGACGGTCGACCACGGCGACGACGGCGTCGACGACGACGATGACGACGACGACGACGGCGGCGGCGGCGACGACGACGACGACGGCGACGACGACGACGGACGACGGACGACGGACGACGCACGACGGACGACGCACGACGGACGAAGGCCGACGGACGACGATGACGACGATGACGTCGACGTCGACGACGACCGACGGCGATGGCGACCTGGCGGCCCCGCGATGTCCAGGACGTGACCGCGCCCCTGCCACTTGCGGATGGCCTGGATCGCCACCGTCGCGGCCTGACGCGAGGGCACCGCCGCCGCTGCTGCCGCTGCCCGTCCTCGTCTTCCTGGCCCGTCTGTTCGTACTTGTCGTGCTCCTCATGCTCCTCGTCCTCTTCCTCCTCATTTGCCTGCTCCTCCTTCTTGTTCCTCCTCCTCATCCTATTATACCTCATCCTCCTCCTCCTCCTCCTCCTCCTCCTCCTCATCCTCCGCCTTACCCTCCTTCTCTCGTTACTCCTTGACGCCCTCGTCATGTTCTTCATCTCTCCAGTTCCCCCCGTCGTCGTGAGACCAATTGCCTGCCTGTTGCGGCGAGCGATTCCCACGAGAGGTACCCTGACGCGTCAGCAGCATGGTCAAGACGGACCCGGGTCGGCAGCGACCTCTGCCAGTCCCTTCTGCCCCCCGCCCTGGCTTCCCCCGCGCCCGTGTCGACGCTGGCACCATCCACTGGGACAGCCTTGATGCCACGCAGGGCGTCAGAACACGACGCCTCGGACGCCCGCGTCGACGACGAGGAGCAACAGGCGCTGGCCGTCCTGGAGGGCGGTCCTCCATCGCGTTCCCCCGTGCCTCCCCTACTGGGAGCGCGGGCCCAGATGACGCCGACGCGCCTCCTGATGTCCGTGGCGGCGATGGCGTGGCTCAGGATGCGAGCGGCTGGCGCGAGGAGCGCGTCGACCACGGGCGTCTTGACGGGAAGGCACCAGCAACCGGGTGCCAAGCCAGACGTGCACCACCGCACCGACCGGGATCAGGAGCGGCCATGGCGCGAATCCACGGCTCCTCCTCCTCCTCCTCCTCCTCCTCCTCCTCTTCCTCCTCCTCCTCTTCCTCCTCCTCCTCCTCCTCCTCCTCCTCCTCTTACTCTTTCTCTTCCCCTCCTCGCCCTCATTATCCTCCTCGACTCGACCTTCTCCCCCCCTCCTCTTAATCTTCCTCTTCCTCCTCGTCCTTCTCAGCCTCTTCCTCCTCCCCTCCCCCCCCCCCCCCTCGTGCCCCCCCTGCTTGGATAGCCGGGCCCCGTCAAGAACTCGGGGATAGCCTGGGCACCCACAGTCGGTGGGAGGCTAGCGGGGTGGTCGGTGCCGTCAGCTAGGGGGTTATAGAAATACACGGGCGCACATCCCCGAGGCCTGGCGGAAGTGGGGCCCCCTTTTCATAAGGAGTCTGGGGGGTGCCTCCCCCAGGGGAATCGGGGATCTGCCGACCCCGGGTGAATCCAGACCCGGGTCAGTCAGATCTCGCAGAATCCTGCAGGATCCTGCAGGATCCTGCACCGAAACCCGGGTCAATGCGAAGGATCCTGCAAGGATCCTGCAAGATCCTGCACCCAAACCTGGGTCAATGCGACCCTGGCCCTGCAGGATCCTGCAAGATCGGGCGCTCTGGTTGATCCCCGCTTGCATTGACCCCCGTCTCGAGGCTCCCGATGTGGAGTCCCGAAACGCTGCGGTGACAGACCGTGCGGGGACCTCGAAATCCCCCAAGACCTCACCGCACGGTCCGTCACCGCACGGTCTTGGGACCCCGGAGCCCCCCCTCGTCCCGAGCCCCAAAACCGTGCGGTGGCCCCCAATCCCCACCGACGCACCGCACGGCGTGGCCACCACGCCGTCTGGGGGCCCCCGGCCCGAGGGAGTGCAGGGCAGGCCGCGCCCACGGCTGGGCCCCTCCCCTCCCGGCCCTGCCGCCGCCGTGGCTCGCCCCCCCGCGGGGGCCGCAGGCCGGTGCCCCTCCCGGCGCCGCAGCGGCGACGCGGGCGCACGCCCAGCGCTCGTGCTGCGGATGGCCTCCGGAGCCTCGCGTGTGTCTTGCGAGCGCTCCTGCTCCTCCTCCTCCTCCTCCTCCTCCTCCTCCTCCTCCTCCTCCTCCTCCTCCTCCTCTGTCCTTCGTCTTGCTGGTGGCCTCTGGAGCAGCCTGCGTCTCCTGCGCGCCGCTGCCCTCTGTTGGTGCAGCCTCCGGAGCCACAATGGTTCTTGCTGTCGATGCCCTTCCCATCGGCTTCGTGCGCCGGAGGTGAGGACGAGGAGCCCGCTGCAAGGGCGGCTTCGACCGTCAGGCCCACATGAGTTCGGCGCTTTTCCGGCAGAGTGGGCTTGACCATTTCTTCGTGGAGAGTCGAACCGAACCGACCCCTCGCCCTCCCCTTCCTCACTGTCCTCGCCCCTCCTCCTCCTCCTCCTCCTCCTCCTCCTCCTCCTCCTCCTCCTCCACCTCCTCCATCTCCTCCTCCTCCTCTTTCGCCATCCCTCCTCCTCCTCCTCCTCCTCCTCCTCCTCCTCCTCCTCCTCCTCCTCCTCCTCCTCCGCCTCATACTCCATCACTCCCCATTTCAGGAAGCTCCTCCTCGCCGCACCACCAGACCCTTCGGCACGGCGCTCCGGGCGGTCCGGCAGAGACTTCCTCACGATGCACGTTCCTAAAGTTCAGCGCTCTCGACAGCTGCACGGATGGAGGGAGAGCCGTCTCAAGCGTGCGGATATCGACTTCGCTCCGCGCAAAAACGTCTTAACAGCTTATAGCAACTGCTCGGATGGAGGGCGCTTCGTTTCCCACAATACTGGCTTTCGCGACAACGCCGCACAAACTAGCTACAATCCCAGCCAGAGTCCTGTATCCCCAAATCACGTGTCTAGAGACAGGGTGGCTCCTACGACTGTTCGCGCGTCCTCCTAGTCATCGTCGTCCCCCTGCTCCTGACCGGCATGCCTCTGCGACGTCCTCCTCCTCGTCCTCCTCCTCCTCCTCTTCCTCCTCCTCCTCCTCGGTATCATCCGTTTCGCCCTCCCCGTAGTATGGCTCCTCCACTTCCACCACTACCTCATCATCATCAGCATTATCATCAGCATCATCATCAGCAGCAGCATCATCATCAGCATCATCGTCATCATCATCCTCATCATCATCCTCATCATCATCGTCGTCATCATCATCCTCTTCCTCATCCCCCTCCTCCTCCTCCTCCTCCTCACCATCATCAGCATCATCATCATCACCATCATCATCAGCATCATCATCATCGTCATCATCATCAGCATCATCATCGTCATCGTCATCGTTATCGTCAACATGACCGTCACCATCATCACACTCAACAACAACAACAACAACAACAACAACAACAACAACAACCACCACCACCACCACCACCACCACCACCACCACCACCACACCACCCCCACCCCCACCACCACCACCACAACAACAGCAACGACAACAACAACAACAACAACAACAACAACAACAACAACAACAAAAACAACAACTACAACTACAACAACAACAGTAATTTCATCATCATCGTCATCATCGTCAGCAGCATCAGCATCAGCAGCAGCATCAGCAGCAGCAGCATCAGCATCAGCATCAGCATCAGCATCATCATCACCAGCATCATCACCTGTTCGTCCCCCTAGCCCTCGTGATACCAGGCCCTCGCGCGAATCCTCCGTGCACGCAAGACCCTAAAGCTTGAAAATCCCTAACAGCTTCAAGGATGGAGGGCGCGTCCTTTTCAAGGCCGATCTCCCGAGAGCGACGCCCTCAGACTTCACGAGCACCAAGCCGTGTAAGTCCCGCCAGCCCTTTAAGGGCGTGAGTAGTCTTGAGGAGCTCGTTGTGCTAATCTTAGGTCGGGCCTGTCCCCCTACAAGCCGATTTTCAAGGGAAATGTAAACATAGTCAAAAATTACCCAAAAATGACAACAACAACAACAACAACAACAACAACAACAACAACAACAATCATTTTACCCGAACGCGTGGTGTTCTCCCCAGTGCCAGGGTTTTCATACGACACCAGGCAATACCCCCACTTCGTGGGGGGCATTACAAGCTCTACCAAATATCCAAACGACTCTTCGCGACCACCCAAACCCAGCTTCCCGCCCTATGACGTTGGGACACTTCACTTCGTGGCGTGCGGACGACCGTGGCTACTACACTGGCGTGGGGTACACACCCACAGAACCCAATGGTTTTTGGAGATTTCGGCGTGCGCGCGCGAAGAAAAAACGAATGTGTCCCGCATGGTATTATTTGACAGGGATGATGGCCCTGGCAGGTGCGCAACCGTTGTCGCAGAAGTTCGAAAAAGTTGCTCGCAAAAGCCCGTTTGACAGAAATGTTTAAAAAGTGTTGGGTTTCCTACGAATCCGCAAGAGCGCGCGGGATGAGATTTTGACATTTTTTGTTGAAAAACCATTGGTTTTTTGATGTTTTTATGTTAAAATCGCTCCGAACACTAAGGTTTTGGAAGGATTTCGTCTTGCGCGCGCGAATGTCCACTTTACCTTATTTTTTGCAAGGGATTCTTGAAGTTTGGTTATTTTAGAACAAGAAATTTCATTTTATAGTGTTTTTTGCAAGGGACAGCGGGGGGGAACAAAACAACCGGATCTGGATGACATCGTATTACCTGAGGCTTCCTCACGAAAATGATGAAAATGTAGCTGCGGCCTAGGCGCGGCGGGGGGGGCGTGCACCAGGGGGCCCAACAATAATTATTCTTTAGAATTAATAATGTTCAACAAAATGGCACCCAGACTATTTGTTTAACTATTTTTGAATAATGCTCCTGTAGAGGGACAAGCCCGACTTAATGCTAACCCTCTTCTTCCCCTTCGGGAGGGGGGTCCCCCTCCCCCACCCCCACCCCTTGGGTCTGGACGACCCAGATCCGCCCGGTGCCAGGGAGTCAGTTTTTTGGCCCCAGGTGCCTCCAAGAGGGCCCCAGGGTGCACAGGATGGCCTCCAAGATCGCCCAGGATGCCCCAGGATGATCCAAGATAGCCTCCAGTATGCCTCCAAGAGCCCCCAGGACGGCCCAAAGTGCCCCCCGAGCCTTCCAATGAGGCCTCAAAGAAGCCAATCGTTCAAAACCACTGTGGTTTCAATGTGTGTGTTTGCGATACCGTCTCGACGGCCACAAAAGCGCCCAAGGCCGCCCCAGGAGCGGCCCGAGAGAGCCCCAAGAGGCGATTTTGTCTGGCCCAGGCAGGGGTACCCCAATCTACGCCCCCCCCATCTTCTGATCGACGGCCTCCAAGATGGCCCCACAAAGCTCCCCAGGGTCTCCAAGAGGGCCCCAAGACAGCTCCCAAGAGCGGCGCAAGAGGGCCACGAGAGAGCCCCAAGAGAACCCCAGAGGCTTCCAAGATGGCCCCAAGGGGGCCCCACGATGGCCCTCAGAGGACTCCAAGACGCTCCCAAAGATCGCAAAGGTCTTGATATTAACTCCTGCGTCGTCGGCGTCGCCGTCGTCGTGGAGGAGTACGGCGACGACAAAGTGGAAGGAGTAGGAGGAGGACTAGACCGGCCTCCAGACTCTCACTGCTGCTCATCGACGCACCGTTCAGGGATGCCGCGCACACGGAGGCCATGCTGATGGAGGACGCGCCCTCGGAGGGAGGAAGGAGAAGGGGACGAAGGGGGAAGGAGGAATGGAGGGGGAGAGGGCTGGGGCGAGAAGAGAAGGAAGGGCACTGGAGGATGGGGATGGGGAGGAGAAGGGAAGGAGGAGACGGAGGAGGCGAGGGGGAACGAAGGATATTGGGGGGGGGCAGAGGGGAACTAGAGGGGACGGGGAGGGGGGAGGAGGGAAAGCATAGCGAAGGAATTGGAGGAGAGCCCCTGCCCACCAGGGTGGTGCTCATGGAGGCCGTGCCCGTGGAGGCTGTCCCATCCGCGGAGCTGCAGTCGTCGTAAAGCTTGTGGTTGCCTGGAGGCGCCCAGAGACACAGCGGTGGCCAATCATCCGCCTCCTCCTCCTCCTCCTGCTCCTCGTCCTCCTCCTCCGCCTCCTCCTCCATCCTCCTCGTACCTCCCTCCTCCTCACTGCCTCCTCCTCCCTCCTCCCCCTCCTCCTCTCCTCAACAGCCTCCTCCTCCTACCAAAAAAATCCTCACTTCCTTTCTCCCTCCTCCTCCTCCTCCTCCTTCCTTCCTCCTCCTCCTCCTCCTCCTCCTCCTCCTCCGGTTCCTCTCTCCTCCTCCTCCTCCTACCCTCCTTCCTCCTCCGGTCCTCCTGCACTCCTCCTCGCTCCTCCCCGCCTCCTTCCTCCTCCGCCTCCTCCTCCTCCCCCTCCGCTCCTCCTCCTCCTCCTCCTCCTCCTCCGCTCCTCCTCCTCCGCATCACCTCATCCTCTTGTTCCACATCGTCATCATCCAACCTTAAATCCTGCCCTCCTTATCCTCCTTGGGTCATTATTTCCCTCTCCACCTCCCCCGCCCCCTCCGCGTCCTCCCCCCATTTATCCTTTTCCTCCATCCTCCTCCTCCTCCTCCTCCTCCTCCTCCTCCTCCCTCCTCGTCCTCCTCCTCCTCCTCCTCCTCCTCCTCCTCCTCCTCATCCTCCTTCCTCATCATCATCATCATCCTCATCATCATCATCACATCATCATCATCATCATATCAGCATCATTATCATCAGCAGCAGCAGCAACAGCATCACCTCATATCATCATCATCATCATCATCATCATCAGCATCATCATCTCATCTCATCATCTCATCATCATCATCATCATATCATCATCATCATCATCATCATCATCATCATCATCATCCATCCTCCATCATCATCATCATCATCATCATCATCATCATCGGCTTCATCGCATCATCATCATCATCGTCTCATCATCATCACATCATCATCATCAGCATCTCATCATCATCACCTCATCATCATCATCATCATCATCATCATCATCATCATCAGCATCATCATCATCACCACCACCACCACCACCATCATCATCATCATCATCATCATCATCAGCATAATCATCAGCATCATCAGCATCATCATCAGCATCAGCATCAGCATCATCAGCATCATCAGCATCATCAGCATCATCATCATCATCATTACCATCAGCATCATCATCAGCATCATCATCATAATCATCGCGATCATCGTCGTCATCATCATCATCATTATCATAATCATCATCATCATCATCATCATCAGCATCGTCATCCTCATCAGCATCAGCATCGGCATCATCATCATCACCATCATCACCATCATCAGCATCATCATCATCGTCATCATCATCAACATCAGCATCATCATCATCATCATCCTCATCATCATCGTCATTATCATCATCATCATCATCATCATCATCATCATCATCATCACCACCATCAACATCATCATCATCATCCCCCTCCCCTCCTTCCCCTGCTCATCCTCCTCCTCCTCCTCCTCCTCCCTCCTCCTCCCTCCTCCCTCCTCCCTCCTCCTCCTCCTCCTCCTCCTCCTCCTCCTCCTCCTCCTCCTCTTCCGCCTCCTCCAACTCCTCCTCCTCCTCCTCCATATCCTCCTCCCCCTCCTCCTCCTCCTCCTCCTCCTCCTCTCTCCGCCTCATCCTCCTCCTCCTCATCCTCCTCCTCCTCCTCCTCCCTCTCTTCCTCCTCCTCCTCCTCCTCCTCCTCCGCCTGTTCCTCATCCACCTCTTCCGCTTCCTCCTCCTCTTTCTCCTCCTCTTCTTCTTCTAAGTAGTATTACGATTATTCTTGTTAGTATGATTCGTCTTATTAGTATTATTTGTCGTACCCTTATTATTAGCATGATACTTATTATTATTAGCATTCGTAGTGATAGCATGTCCTTAATGTTCTTAGTATTAGCATTGTTCTGTTTATTATTATTATTTTCACTATTAATACTAACCTTATTATTCTCAATATTACTAATAATATCGTTATTCGCGTCATTTGTATCATGATTCATAGAATGCTTCTTCTTACTAATAGTATTAGTATTGTTATGCGCATTCGTGTTCTTATTATTATTCGTCGTGTTAGTATTCGCCTTACTGAATTTATTTTCAGTCTTAGTATTACTATGATTCGTGCCGTTCTTCTTCGTATTAGTATCCGTCTTCTTCGTAATGTTCTTATTCGTAGTAGTCGTATTAGTAGTCCTATTATTACTCGTTATAGTAATAGTCTTCTTGTTCGTCTTATTAGTTTTAGCATTATTATTATCATTCTTATTATTCGTAGTATTCTTAGTATGTGCCTTGTTCCTAATATTCGCATTATGAGTAGTAGTAGTACTATTAGTATCCATCTTCGGAGTATTATTATTCTAATGTGTATTGACTTCCTTGTTGGTATTCGTGTTCTGCTTCTGCGTATTATTTTTCGCCTTGTTAGTACGTGTAGCGTTGTTATTACTATTGTTCTTAGTGTTATACGTATTGTTATGATTATTAATATGTTTGGTTCGCTTATCATTCTACTGGTTCTTATTAGTGGTCGTCTTCTGCTTACCATTATTAGCCTTAATAGTATGATGTGATGTCTTCTTCTGTATGTTGATATTAGTTTTATTACTATTACTAGTATTATTAGCATGTTTCTTATGGTTTGCTATTATCACTGCTTTTATTACTATATGTCATATTAATGTGCTTGCTAGTATTACTATTCTTAATATTATTATGGTCCCTCCTCCTCATCTTCCTCTTCCTCCTCCTCCACCTCCTCCTCCTCCTCCTCCCTCCTCCTCCTCCTCTTCCCTCCTCCTCCTCCTTGCCCTCGACACATGCGACATCCCGCAGGGCTCTGCTAAGGACATCCCGATCTGCATCGAGAGCTTGCTCACGCCCCAGGACGACAACGAGATGACGGGAGGGGGCGCTGAGGAGGCTGAGCGGTGGTCTGCCGAGCTCAAAGAATCCCTTCAGCAAGCTGTTCGCAAGTTGTTTGGCGATGCTCTGGAGAAGGCCAAAGCGTTTCAGGAAGAGCAGAAGCAGATGCTATCCAGGTTCGCTTCCAAGCGTCGCAGACAGGACGAACAGCCTGGTCCCGTCGGCACAGCGGCGCCCGAGGACGTCCCCCCCCCCCCCCCCGACGGCGACGGTCAGCGTGCCCAGCAGGCTGCGGCAGCGGCAGCGGCGCGCGCCCCAGAGCAGGAAGGCGGCCGTGCTGCTCCTTCCGCTGGCCCTCATGACATCAAAGACCCCGCTGACAAACTGTCCGCAAGAGCCCCCCCCCCCCCCGCAGCGGCCCGCGCGCGAGGAGGGGGGGGCTGAGAACGCCAAGTGGGCAATCTCATGAGAGCCCCTGTGAGCCAGTTTGCAATAACTTCGCGGCAAGCTCAGTGCCCGTTGCCCCTTCTGCGGCGCCTTGCGGGGGCCCCAGTTTTTGCGCGGTGCCAACCAAGGCCAGGGCCCACGCAGACCTCGGGGTCACGGGGGTCACAGGAGTAGGTTTAGACGCCAACATGTCGCCCCGTCAGTATGTATCTTGGGGTTCTGCGGACGAGCAATGGGAGGTTGCGCCTAGCTCATGTAGGACGCAACTTCCAGCCGGCAAGCGTTCACTTCTGTCTAGTGCCAAATCAATTTTAGTCGGAGCCTCTTCCCCCCCGAGGGCCGGGGCTCAAGTTTTGGACGGGGTGCGGTCGGCCCCCCACTCTGGTTTCGGAGGGGGTGTTGCTTGTTCCTGGCGCGCCCAAGTCGGGTGCCTCTGAACCGCCCCGCCCTAAACCTGCGTGGTCTAACTTTTTGAATACGCCTGTTGACCAGACCAATTGCAGCCGCGCTACAGCTAGGCTCTGAGGGCACCAGTGGCCAGAAGATGGGAGCAAGCACTCGGGGCCCCCATGTTGGCACCACCGGACCCCACTGATGACCCCGCTGACTTCCCCGTCGGAGCCTTCCAGCCTATCATCGAAACGTGCAATGTCTCGGGATGGGGATCGGTTCAGCGATGGTGCTCGCGCACGCGCGCGCGTCATTGTTGCAGGAGCACCATCTCTGTCGGGCAAAATAGGTCCCGCTTCATCGTGGCGCAGGCGCAACGGATGGAAATCCTTGTTTCTTCCAGCTTGTGCTGGGACAGGGGGGTGGCCGCCGGCGGGGGTGGCGATTCTGGCCCGCTCTGGACTTGGTCTCTTTGCGCTGGCGCACGGGCATGCAAGTGGCCCCGCATAGGGCGATTGCTGCGATAGCCGCGTTGCCCGATTCGACTTAGCTCCTGTGCATCTCTGTCTACCACCACGATTGCCGACGCCTGTCCGACTCTAACCTCTCTATCCTCTCTGCTGCGGGGGCCTGCATTGACGCCATGGGCTTCCACGGCGTGCTCGGCGGGCATTGAAACATGGAACCGTCGACGATTGTCGGCGCAGGGCTCGACGACAAGCTCGGCCAGTGGATCGTTCCAAGTGGCGCCACTTGTAACTCCGTTGCGGGGGCCAAGGTGCACGATTTCTTCCTCGTGGCCCACGGGATCGCGAAAGGGGCGGCCAAGGTTGAAATCCAGCACGATAGCGACCTCTCCCCCCACTCTCCTGTGCGCCCCACCCTTCACCCCACGCTTAGTAGGTTGTCGGCGTTGGGCTTTCGGGACCTCCGCGGCCTCACCGACGCGCTGCGTCTCTTGCGCCCCCCGCCCCAGCACCTCGCCGATGGCCCGGCACCTAGCCCTCGGCTGCGTCCGCATCTGCGCGGGGCGGGAGCCTGCACGACCAAGGCTTCGCAGTCTGGACGCGACGCTGCACGGCCTGACGCCCGCCCTGCACCTGCCGGCGCCGCAGCGGCGCCCGCGGTCCCAGGAGCCACTTCTATTTCGCGCGACCTGTCTGCATGGCAGGATCTTTTTGCCGCCCGACCTGGCGAGGTCGAGTCCGACGCAAGGAAGCAGGCCGCGCGAGAATGGAACGAGTGGCTCCTTCATCGGGCCGAACAGTGGGCGAAGC